TTATTATTATTATTATTATTATTATTATTATTATTATTATTATTATTCACATGCTCTGAGGCTAAGGATTTCTACTCCCCCTCCCCACCTGAGTAAAAATCTCTTCCAAAGGCAAAACACAAGCAGAGGAGATGAGTTTCAGTTTCAGAGAACCAAGCAACTTTAGTACAGAACAGTTGAGCTAAGCCACACCAAGGCTCCTTGCTGTCTCCTTGCTCACACATCAAATACTCTTTCAATTTCCAACCAGCCCTCGACTCTCTCTTTTCTGCCTTCTGCATAGAAGCTGTACAGATGCAGATAGGATAACTCAACAAGACGTCCATAACAAATTACATTTATTGGTTCATCAGGTATCCTCATAACTCACGTTTGTGGCGAAGTTCTTCTTTAATGACCAATCCTTTGTATATCTGCCTTGTAGGTAAAAGATGGTTATCTCCTAACCCATCTCGTAGCGATAGAAAGAAGCTGCCATGAGTTAGAGAGTTCAGGCAAAAGTGAGGAAAAACTCCCCCAACCTCTCAAGGGTCAAATTAGTGACCAATCGGGATTACAGATGTGGCCACGTGACCTGGACTACATTTCCCAGGTTACCTTTAACTACATTTACCATGATGCCTTCCCTTAAGGGGACAGCTCATAATTCCTAAGTAACTATCCAATTCCCAGAGCCTGGCTGGGGCAGCACACTCTCACAAACTGACAGGACGCTAGCCAGATGAATACCGATGGATGCTGGCAGGCAGAGGCAGAATTTTTCCCCCTTATTTTCCTCCCCAAAAACTAAGCCCGATCACATAGATTCATAACAAAGCACGGGTATTGTCGTACAATCACCCAGATGTTTAAACGGGATTTGGCATTTTCAATCCCCCTTCCCAAGGACTTGGGTTAGGCATTACTATTATTATTATTCCGGTCAGCTGAAGATCTTGCTGTTACATTCATTTAACTGCTGCTTCATTTAATGTTTATTTGGCCACCCCATGGGGTGAGCCACAGCTGGTACAAGTAGTCCTTGATTTATGACAATTGAGCCCAAAATTGACGTTGCTAAGCAATACAGCGGCTACGTGAGTTTTGCTCCATTTTATGGCCTTTGGTGTCCACCGTTAAGTGAATCCCTGTAGCTGTTTAGTAACGTGAGTGTTAAGTCAATCTGGATTCCTCATAGACTTTGCTTGTCTGAAGGTTGCAAAAGGGGATTAAGTGATTCTGGGATACTTCAACTGTCATAAATAGGAACCAGTTGCCAAGTGTCCGAATTTTGTTCACATGGCCATGGAGATGTGTGAAGTTGGATGCTGGATAACCATTTGTCTGAAGTGGTGTAGGATTTCCTGCCTAGGCAGGGGGTTGGACTAGAAGACCTCCAAGGTCCCTTCCAACTCTGCTATCAGATAGATCAGGGGTGGGCAAACTTTTTGGCTCGGGGGCCGCATTGACTTTTAAAATTTGACAGACGGGCCGGGTCAGCACAAGATTTTTTGGGAATCGCCCCCCCCACCCTTTCCCCCCCCCCCC